GGGGGGCATTTCATCTGCTGGTGTTGGTCCACTGTGTTTTCTGAGGTCCAAGGTCAACGCAGCTGTCTACCAGGAAGTTTTAGAGCACTTCATGCGTCCTGCTGCTGACCAACTTTATGGAGATGCAGTTTCATTTTCCAACAGGACCAGGCAAAAGCACATGGTGTCAAAGCTACCAGTACCTGGTTTAAGGACCATGGTATCCCTGTTCTTAATTGGCCAGCAAACTTGCCTGACCATAACCCCATAGAAAATCTGTGGGGTATTGTGAAGAGGAAGATGTGATACACCAGACCCAACAATTCAGAAGAGTTGAAGGCCACTATCAGAGCATCCTGGACTCTCATAACACCTGAGCGGTGCCACAGACTGATCGACTCCATGCCATGCCGCATTGCTGCAGTAATCCAGGCTAAAGGAGCCCCAACTAAGTACTGAGTGCTGTACATGCTCATAACCAAAAAGGTCCATGCTCAATAATCCAATAATTATTGAGCATGGACCTTTTTGGTTTTGAACCAGTTTGACATGACTGTCGATGAGGAAGAGGGCTGGCACAAGAGGAGGGGGCGTGCCAAAGACACCATCTTAGCACCAACATAACTGGTTTGTTCCACTTTGGAGTAAGCTGTTTGGGGGGAGAATCAGTTTTGTGTTGTTTCCCTGACTGATGAAGCCTTCCGGATGGAAGGTGAAACGTTTCAGCAAAAACAGAAACTGTCCAGATGACCTGACTGAAAAATGTTACATGCTCATACTTTTCATGTTCAATCTTTTCATTTGGCCAACATTTCTAAAAAATCCCTAAGTAATATTCTAATTTTCTGAGATACTGAATTTGAGGTTTTCATTAGTTGTCAGTTATAATAATCAACATTAAAAGAAATAAACATTTGAAATATATCGGTCTGTGTGTAATGAATGAATATAATATACAAGTTTCACTTTTTGAATGGAATGACTGAAATAAATCAACTTTTTCATGATATTCTAATTTTCTGACCCCATTTATTCAAAGGGTTAGTGCGCTGCTGAGTAAATGGGGAAGAAGATCGGAGCTGAGGGCCCGTCAAAGCGCATTAAATGCTTCCCCTGCTTCTGCCTGCATCCTGCTCTGACAAGTCGGATATTTTGTGATCTCACTTGTTTGGGTCGTTGGCTGCGTGCGTCCGCTGAGTGCAGCAGCTGAATGAACTTCCATTTGGGCTGATAGATCGCTGGCAGTAGTCCATCTGAAGCTTAACTGAACTTTTTACCTCTTTCAACCGACCGGTCAGCACGTGGTGAAATGGCCGCGCGCAGCTGGTGACAGTCTGGCAAGTCATGTTGACATATAATTGGATTGTCATCCGCCTGTGTCCCTGACACAATAAAAAGCCAGACTCCGACCCGGCCTGCACATTAAGCACATTATTATGGCCCGGTCCGAATCTGGGTCGGGTAGGTCCGGGTTTGGGTTAGAAATGACAGCTCTACCCAGAATGGTCCCTGGCCGGGATTTGACCTCACTGAAAGGCGACTGCTCTACCAACTGCTCCACCGTGCCGCTATGAGAAATATTTTTCTCTTGCAATATTCTAAACTCTTAAACCTCCATCATTTTAACAGTGTATGTGTATGTACTGCACATTTTTACTCACCAGCTCTGCAGAACAGCAGCTCTGTTCCGGTTGGACTCTGTTCTGGTTCTGCAGACCTACCCTGCAGCGATGAAGCCATTTGGGTCCATCCAAGCTGATGTGCACGTGGATAATTGAACTTCAGGATTATTTGCACTTTTCCTGCCAGTTCTGTGTGCTTCATAGATGGCATAGATTTGTGTTGCGAAACTTTCCCTCCATTTGGCAGAAAGCAGTGGCCGGAAGCACTGTTGACTTCTGGGTAATGTAGTTCTTTTGACTGGCCTTACAATGTAGGCTCATTAAAAGAAAATACAAAATGGTGGCGCCTGTCTGAAGTATTTTTTCCTTAACTTTTTATCTCATACTGTCCCATTTATGTGAGTAATGTTAAAGTTGACAATTATTGAAAAACCGTTAAAGAGCTAGTCCACGAATGTCAAACTGCAAAGCAGTGAGGGACTATGCATGTCAAAATTGTCAAAATTATATCTCTAGGTGCAGAGAAAAATTTCAGTCAAAATCTATATTTTTTTCTGCTTTAATCAATGCTTATGGCTGCAGCCGCAAACATTTTCTCCACCTTAATAGAAAGTTTCATGATTTGAGCACCTCATTGTTGTTCACTTAGTCATTTCCATTCATCATACAGGTGTGACGCGCCACCACTGGTCAGAGGAGGCCTCCATGTTGTTCAGGAATCATGTGGAGAAGAAGGCACTGGTAGCGCAGGTGGAGAGCGTGCGTGATGTGCCAGAGGTTAAAGGTGAACTGTGGGAGCGCAGATTGGCAGTTTACCTGGTGGACACTTCACTGAAGCAGGACCTTTGGATACACAGCATCATGGCTGACATCGAAGACGAGCTGTCTTCAGCTGCATAGGATGTTCACTCCCAACACCTCGGCAATACCATCAACCAGACCGCTGACTCAAAGATGAACCAGTTATTGAAACTGTTGGTTGCTTTTTTCCTGCAGCTTCTTCCAAGTCAAATCTCAATTGGACCTCTAATGTTTAGATCACTGGGGCTGAAGATTGATTTACTTTTGTATGCTTTAGGAATTGGAACATAAAGAATAATTCAAAACCTGTTATGCTCTAATGGAAATAAATATTAAAAATGGAAAATCACATTCTTATTGGACATTGTTGCAGCAGTCACTGAGTGAAACTATTTGTATTTCACCGTTTTCTTTTATAAATTGTGTGAAACGTGTTAGACCATCTTTTTAGACCTTTAGACAATCTTAGACCATTTTCCTGTTAGTTTAATGCATTTTTTTTTATTTTTAAATATTAAAGACGTACTCCTTGAGTTACTGTATTATTATACAAAGTTCACAAATGTATACACCAAACTGTAGATGAGCCATTCTAGCAGGTTTTAGCAGCCATTTCTGCATAAACATTTGTTAGACATAAAAAATACTTTTGAAAAAAATCTAAAATTTTTATGGAAAATAAAGTTACAGCTCTTTTCAGAAGTCAACAAATAATTTCTTTGTAACTTGACAAAACACTGCAGGGTGGTCAAATTTTTATTAGTATACAAATCATTTTATAATTGGATCGCATGGCCCTATTTTTTATTTTTATTTTTTGGAACAGAAGTCTGCAGCCCTGGGTCTATGCAGCTTTTCTGAATCCCTCAAGTTGCTCTTTCAAGCTTTGACCAAAACTAACCTAAAACTGATTTTTATGTGTCTTATCCCAACAGAAAAGAGAGAGTTTCTACATTTGTCACTTTTTTTTACAAATGCGTGAACAAGAGTACCGTAATTTCCAGACTATTGAGCACACCTGAATATAAGCTGCACCCGTTAAATAAATTAAAAAAAATAATTTGTGCATATATACCATACCATTTTATTTATAGAGCACTTAAAACGGCGACATAGCCAACCAAAGTGCTGTACAGACAGAAAAATGGGCAACACGCAAAGCAATAGACAAAATAAGGTAAATCAGAATATAGACATAAAAACAATGCAAATAATGAATATGACGACTAACCAGTGTGGAGCGTACAGGCTCAAAACTGAGAGGGAGGGGGCCTGTCTGACGACATGTTCCAAAGTCTTGGTCCTGCTACAGAGAAGGCCCTGTCACCTCTGCGCTTAAGACGAGTTCCTGGGACTGAGGAGCAACTGGTGCACTGACCTCAGGAGCGTGGTGGGACATACGGTTGTAGCAAATCAGAGAGATTGGGGGGGGGGGGGCTGTTCAGTGATTTGTAGACATACTGGAGTATTTTGAACTGGATTTGAAGGTGAACTGGTAGCCAGTGCAGTGAGGCCAAAACTGGAGTAATGTGCTCTCTTTTGCCTGTACTGGTTAAAAGTCAGGCTGCTGCATTCTGGACCAGTTGTAGTCGTGCAATGGAGGTCTGACTGATACCAAACGGGAGTGAATTGCAGTAATTAAGCCTAGATGTAAGGGATGCATGTATTACTGTCTTCAGGTTATTTTTGGACAATATGGGCTTCAGTTTAGACAGCCGCCTCAGTTGGAAGAAACATGATTGAACAATCATGTTTACATGATTAAGTTTCAAGGAAGGGTCCATTATCACTCCCAGATTAGTGACTTTGTTTTTCTGACAGGGTTAGAGCGGAAAGGTCTATGCAGTGGTTTGTGATCATGTCGTTGGGAGGGAGCAACATGACTTCAGACTTTTTTTCATTGAAACTTAAGAAATTTAAAGCCATCCAGTCCCTGATGTCAGCCAGGCAGTCGAGCAGAGGTTGAATAGAGCATGTACCATTGTGTCTTAGGGGGGAAGTAAATTTGACAGTCATCGTCGTAGAAGTGGAAGGGCATGTTGTTTCTGGAAAATGGCACCAAGTGGCAGCAGGTATAAAGAGAATAGGAGGGGACCCAGGATGGACCCCTGCGGAACCCCCCATTTAAGCTCTGACGCTGCAGAACTAAAATCCTTGATGGAGACGCAAAAGGATCTGTCAGCGAGTTAGGATTTGAACCAATTCAGGGCTGACCCTGTGATGCCCACGCACTGCTCCAACCTAGCTATGAGGATCTCCTAGTCGATGGTGTCAAAGGCGGCTGTGAGGTCCAATAGGACGAGCAGCACAAAATCACCAGTGTCTGTGGATAAGAAAATGTCATTAAAAATCTTCAGTGGGGCAGTTTCAGTGCTGTGGAGAGGTTTAAAGCCAGATTGGAATAGCTCTAAGATGGCGTGATCCTCCAAGAAGCACTTGAACTGGGACTCAACTGTTTTCTCCAGTATTTTAGAAACAAATGGGAGTTTGGAGACAGGCTGGAAGTTGGATACGACTGAGGGGTCAAGGTTTGTTTTTTTCAGGAGAGGCTGGACAGCAGCATGTTTAAAGGTTTTTGGCCCCACGCCAGTGGATAAACTGCTATTTACAATATCAAGAATGGACGGACCCAGAGTAGGAAAAACCTCCTTTAGTAGTCGAGGAGGGACCACATCAAAGGGGGAGTCAGAAGGTTTCAAGCTGCACATGACCTGCTCTAGAGAAGATAGTGATGGGTTCAAAATGGTCAGAGCTACAGATTGAGGTGGGATGGATGGGTCATGAGTTGGAGGGGAAATGAGAGCCCGGGTGGTCGCAATTTTTTCCCCAAAAAAATGTAGGAAGTTCTCGCACAGCTCAGTCGAGGCTTCCAGAGGTGATGGTTCAGTGAGGTGGAGAACAGAGTTTAGGGTGGAGAAGAGGACACGTGGGTTGTGAGAGTTTGAGGTTATGATATCAGAAAAGTATTTGGATTTAGCAGCTTTTACTGCTTTCTGATAACGGCGCCAACTCTCTTTAAGTATTTCAAAAGAGACCTGCATATATATATATATATATATATATGCTGCACTTGTCTATAAGGCACAGATGTCCACATTGTAACATAACAGATATTTAATCAGAAATGTTTTGAAAACTTAAATACGTACCCGTAACAAACATAAATACATACAGTAAATGTTTTTTTTTTTTTTTTTCTGAACAGCGCCTGTACCACAGCTGGTTAAAACAAAACAAAACAAACAAACAAAAAAAAAAAAAAAAAATA